ACCCATTTGCTGATGCCAATACCTGATGAAGGAAAAACAATCGACTCACGTTAATAACGAATAGTTACCATGTCAAAAGTAGATTTAGTGCACGTGAAGTGTGATTCAAAGACTTGAATTACTTAATGCATCAAAAAGACTAAGATATTCTCTACTGAAGAGCCTGCCACAAAGACTTTGCACTTGAAACTCCAATAATTTGTGATGTTTTGAGAGAATTCTACAGTAAATGATGACAAAATACATGTACTTTGTCAAAAGAGCATTTCACGTTCTATCCTAATATATGTATGAATCTGCTGTCTGGGCACTGAAACTAAACACTTCAATAGGCTCTAATCTCAATGTCTACACTAGCAATGACTAGGATGTCTGCAGCACTTCAGGTGAGAAATTTGTCATTAACTTTTAGGCCTGTACATACGTGGAATTTGTTTTATCCTGAAATACCTCATTTTGGGTACAGAATCCAAAGATGGATTATTTATGACTGATTGACCTAGACTAAGAATTATACTCTATTATGATTTGTTTGGACTTTTAACTAATAAAAGTTAAACGACAAAAAGTTACCAAAATTACACAACATGCTCAAAAGTTTTAGAGTGCTTGGTGAAGTATGATGTTTGTACATTAAAACCTACCCAATTTCTTATCACAATACCAACTTTTCCACTTTGGATAATTTTCTGTTTGAAATTTTGTCAAGCACTGATATAACTGTTGTTTGAGAGCAGAAACAAAGTAAGAATGATTGGCCTCGTCTCAATGCTATGACAGCAACAATAAGAACTTTGTTAGCTGAAGTTCTTTGACCCTCCACATAAACTGTGAAAGTTACATAATTCTTGCCAGTTCGTGATCATATGTAAGCTGCAGAAACTGCTCCTCATTTGACAAATTACTACGTGCATGAAGACATTTATTTTAGCTGGGCTCCTAAAAAACACTTTGAAAAAGAAAACAAGATGGCTCCCAACTCTTATGATTCCACAGACGTTTTACCTTGTCATGTGATGTCTGACTGCCAATGGAGCTCATTCAACATTTCTTCGTGGTCATCGACTGCAAATCCTGTGCAAAAGAACTAAACTGCGATTATAAAACTAAAAACCTTAATGGTTCTTGACAATTTTTTCAACACTTGCAACGTGCAGAACTGTTGATCATTAGGGAAATTACAACATGTGTAAAACATCTTGCCTTGTCAGTGTGCCTCCCAAAATTACACTAAAAAACCACGGCTGAAAACACTCCGATAATTTCACAGTTCATACTTTTCTGTATGAGCTGGTCTAAACTTTTTTAGGAATTTTCTACTCCAGCTAAAACATCGCCTTTGAAGCATAGGAAACCTAATTCCATGACACAGTGTAATTCATTTCCAGTCAAAGCATCGGTCACATTGTTTGCACCTACTGCGATTTTGAAGCATGGAGCACAGAGCTTGGAATCCCCTCATCACAAAATGATTCATAATTCAAAAGTTAACAGAATTACATGTGTAACTTTTTACCTTGTCATGTGACCTCTGATTGGCAATGACTCTCAAAGGTTCCTTAACGACAATCATCAACCACAATCCTGTCCAAAAAAAATCAATCGGATTGCAGACACAAATGAAACTGACGGGATGAAACATTACACGAGTTTAAGAAAGTCTTTATGTCAGATGAAAGGTCACTCATTAAGCTGAGAAATTCCGCCCTTAAATGGCTGTAGTGAATCCTGAAACTGTCAAAAGGTCTCGCCTTGATAATTTGCATGAGTCTCGAAGTGTGTTGGGGGAATTGTATATTTGAAAAGATGAGGTAGTGACACGCACTCTCAGAATGCAAAATAGACTTTTTTAGGAGAGGAGTCAAGTGGAGACAAAGGTTTTAATGGGGGGACCACGAGAGATCTGTGGTTGAATATTGAGACACCATAAAACCTTGCTGTTGACCATTTCAATACTGCATCCTTTCATAAATTATCATTTGTTTACTTTCTTGGAAAACCTGTTTGCTCCTAGTGGACGGGTGTGGCTGATTCGTTTTTTGGAGTAGCTGTTTCACTTAATCCTTTCTTCTTTGTTATGCATGGAATGTCCCAGTCTATGAAGAAGTTGTCTGATGGCAATCACTCAAATGTAAATCATGGTAAGGCGGCCATGTTTTTGTCGACCATAAACTTGAAAAATGACCTCTCCATGGCAACCTCGTGGCGGAACACTGCGCTATGAATCACCCCTATTTACAGTGCAATACAGTGATACTTAAGTAAAGAAAATAAGTGAATGTCAAAGTACCACCAGTAACAAAATAATCCAGTTGGCAGCATGATCACATACTTTGCATGACGGCTTGCTTCCGACGGGCTGTCCCTCCTCCCACCCTCTGAGCTCCGCCTCTGCAGCGCCCTCATGGACCAGTCTTTGACAGTTCATCCTCTCTGCACAGGTCCGCTCCACTCAGACAACAGGGATCCCACAATGCCACAGATCATCTGGAACCCCGTCCAGGAATCACAGAATTGGCCGGCCTCTTAGACTGGAACCCAATGCTGCCTCACTGAAAAATAATACATAAAAGCTACTGACTTGAATTAAGGAAAACAGCTTGGGAAATAAAAAAGAGAAATACAATAGGCAAGTAGAAGGCTGTTGACATGAGGCAAGGCCTCTAGGTGGGGCATCATCGACAAACCAAATTTTACAAAGTAATCATGAAGTAAGAACAATCATACAAAAACACAAAACAAAAATAGACACAGACACACAAACATATGATAAATGTAACCATCAAACCAACATACTGTAGTTAACCAAACGGATGCCAGACAAAAACACAATGACCATGCACAGAGATGACAATGTAAATGATGGGGAAAGTGAATCCTGAATATTGAAAGAACAGTGAAGGACGGAGAGCTATGCCACTTACTGGGAGAGAAGAAATGTTTATCCATGTAGAAAGATTGCAATCCATCCAAGATAGAAGATTTGAAAGGAGTCACAGAATTAACACAGATTTCACTTTTTTTTAAAGGTAAAAAGATGGCCCTGAAACAAGAAAAACAATTAAATGGTAGACGAGGGAGGGCTAGGTTACATTGAAAGAGAGGAAATCTTGTATTTGAAGATCTAAATCCACCCACAGAAGTGATGTAGTTTTCACAGCAGAATATTCTTAAAGATGGCTTAAGTAAAAAATCGGCAGAAAGGATTCACTATCTTGAACCTACTCTTCAACAAGTCTGTGTGAGTTGTGCATGAATTCAATTCATTCCAGGCTTCACCCTGTTCTTGTGACCAGGTTACAAGGATTTGAGCATATTTGAGTGGGGAACTTTGAAGAAACAATATTGAAAAGGAAAGGCTATTTTCACTCCATCCCTGACAGACCCCGAAACCTTCAAAATAAAAACTTTGGCCCATGCGATGATTAATGAAATGTTTACACTCAATCGTGGCTGTGTTGGAAATTTAATGAAAACACACAATACGTATAAAAGTTCAAACTCAAGTAGATGAAAAGTTGTCAGCACGTGAGCAATATTTAAAAATATTGGTTTAAATTTTGGTATTAATTTTGGAGAAAACACAACTTTTGCATTGGATTTGCTTCAGGCAAACAAATCTGCTTTTAGAAGACTGAAAAAATGTGAATACCCTCACTTATCAAAAGAACGATTGTTGTTCTTGGCTGAATTCATAAAAAAGATGGAGAAGCTTCCTTAATTTCTGGTTAGCAAGCAAGCTGACAAAGCCTTTCATTCAAAACATTTGACATGGAGATGTGAAATAAAATGAACAATTCTGCATCCATGCAACTACATGTACATGTACATCTAATGCTGGTTCCCTGAATGGATAGTTCAGTATGATTAGGGTCAATGTGTAATACTTACATGTACATGTAGTCAAGATAGATTAGGAAATATCTCTTAACACATTAAGTCAATTAGAATTTTATAGTAAGTCAATTTCACTATATATATACTATATAACACATTTTTCAGACTTAAAAACTGAGGACTTAAAAATGAAATAGGAAAGACTTGTCAAAACGTAAAATGAAGGGATAGAAAACATCCCCTTCTACTAAATGAATTTCTCCTTTCACCTGAGGTTTTCTTTCTGTGGAGGGCATTTTTACATTTTAACAGGGTGTGAAATGTACCAACTGTATATGTACATGTACATAACTTGTCTCTGCTCAAGATTTCAAGTCAAGTATTTTTTTTCTGCATACAGCATTCTAAACACATATTATGTGATCATGCCCCAAAAACCGAATACTTTTTTGCAAGGTGAGAAATTTTCAGTTAACTGTTTTATTCCAATAAATTACAAGTTTCTGCCATCTCTGGGAAATAGATGATTATAAAAACTTGTGTGGCAAGTTGTTTACAAGTTTGCTACAAGAATTGATTTCATTTCATTTCACATCTACATGTACTAGTATTCCTATTCAGGCATCTTATGGAAAAATTGGAGTAAAGAATCGGCAAAGAAATTGATGCCAACATTTTTAAGGATTTTGCTACAATTTAAAATTTCTGAAAAGAGTTACTGGCATCTGCTAGATCAACTTTCATATGTTTACTTTCAATTTATTTCTAAACCCTAATTACCGTAGTAATAAAGAAGTAAGATATCAGATTTTTATTACATGTAGTTCCCAAATTTGCAAATACAATGTTTGGTGTATGAGAACTGTGTCAATTGGGCCTGACAGGAGAGACTAATATGGTAATGCTGGTACATGTAACAATATACTTTTGCTTGTTTGCTGCCATGGCAACTGAACATGAGCAGTGAATGTTTTGGGGACTCAGACTCATTTTACCCTAACAAATCTTTGGGACCATTGTAAATCTGTACTCATTACTGACAAGGATACATGGGCAGACCTGCAAAGTTACAGAAATTCCAATGCGTGAGATTGTTTTGTCCGATTGAAACCCATGTCCATTATAATGCATAATCATATTGTGATGTCATAATTTGAATAAAATATTTAAGGTGACGTCATCAAAACCAAATGAAAGTTAATGCATGAAATACTTGGGATCTCTTCGGGGCTCGTTATACTTCTTTTTAAAAATCACAAAACTAAATCACATTGCGATATGTTTTCAACTGTTGCCCCTGGAAAGTCTAGACTTTGTAAAATGGTAAATTTCTCTCCTCCCGAAAATACTGAGTTGGAGATCCCACCATCACCCCGGGCCCCAGCCAGCCATCTAGTGGGGCTTGGTAATAGTAGTACTACTACTACTACTAGTACTAGTAAAGACACGTCGACACTGACAATTGACATGACTGACAAGGCTGTTTTTGTGAGCTTAAACCGTCCGGACTGGATCCAACTTTGTAAAAAATCATTATTTTGATTACAGTTCAGTCAGTCTTACCAACAAATTTTCTCCACCCTTGACGACAGCTTTATCGCATTTTCCTGACCAAAACTCGATCATCTCGGGACAATAAATGTTTACTTCTGGAAACAGTCTTTTGAGCTATAAACAGCGCCCTCTGTAGACTTCACAAATAGCCCCCTCTATTGAGCGCCCTCATGCTAGCTCCTGCGTTCGAGTAGCTTCATATTTAAAGCTTTCACCTCGTCCGCCCAATGGCTTGGTTCCTAGCTCTATGGTTATTTTGACACAGTGCACACGCTCATCTGTCAGGTCAGTGTTGCCTCTACATAAGATATTCGAACGCACCAGCTGGCAGCATAGTGCAGTCGGTGATCGAATTTGTCCTTTGCAAGATTCGTTAAAGGACATTAAATTCCCCAGAATTGTTTGGATGGATTCAGACGGTGAGAAATTTCCTCGACGTTTGATTTAAGAGCCCTGAAAGGAGACGTGCTTACGAGTATTTGTCAATCAGCAGTTTGGAGATTTTTTTTTTGTATAGTGTTACCTGGGACTCCCCAGGTTTTTTTTTTTATCTTGCGAACCTGGTACATGCATGGAGGTAGAATCACATGTAAGTCTCTCAAAAAACAAAGGCAACGCTCTCTTTATTGCGCTGACCCCATTTTTTGAGAAATTTCAAATGGTAAATTGTGAGAAAATGTGACTTTCTTACTGATAAACCAGCCATGCAAATTTGAATTCATCATGTTTTTTGTTTCCACTCATGATTTCCCTCAAAAGTCAAAACCCTGCCCTTTCTGACATCAACCCTACATTTATTGCGCATGAGGTTACAGTCTTCTACCAAGATGAATTCAGAAATTAAAATGTAGCTCTCCCTTCTATTATAGGAACATGGTTCCCAAATTGACAATTGCTGTTATACTAATGAAAGGGAATGAGTTATTTATGTACAAGGCCCTAAATTTTGCATGTTGACTTGTATGCAGTTCTGGGATCTTAACAAACCATACCTTAAGACCAGTGTGGTCTTCATGTTCGTAATGAGTGCATGATATTCACAATGTATGTAAAATGGCATAACCTGCTGCTTGTTTTGTGAGGATTTGACAGTCTGCATGTTGTGATGTTTGTTATAAATATTGACAGAACATCCCCTTTTTCTTTTCTTTTTTCATTTTCAAGTTTTTTTTCAAATTTGAAGTAGGCTTTGTCAATGCTAAATGACATCTCCCACCTCTCTGAATGTTCTCTTAATTATATTGAAACTTTTTAAAAAGAATTTTAAACAAACTTGCGAGTGGAAATGTTACTTTACCCGACTCAAGAGTTTCCAAATAAAAAAAAATCATTGCTGTGAAGCCGTTACATGAGGCGAACCTACTCCTGCAGGAAATGAAAGTTGGGCCAATCAGAGATCAGCTTTTTTTATGGAAGTTAAGTCAACCAATCAGCAACAGTCTACCACAGTAGCTTAGCTACAGCAATGTGTGTTGCTGTGTGTGTTTTTGTTCACATGGTAACCATCCTTTTCACCCCATATTTCCCCTCAACAATCAAAACCCTGCCCTCTTTCCACAAAATTGATCCCATATGGTGTCATCACCATTATTATGTGAATCTATAAAACTTGAAAGTTTTTGGTTTTCTTGTCGTAGCAGCATCCTCTTGTTAACACACATGCGGACATTCAAATGTTGGTTAATGTTTCCATCTTTCAGGTCATGAGACAATGAGGAAGAGCCAATCTACAATCACATCCTACCTAGATGATGCACCTGTTGCTAGGGAAGTCATCAGCAAGCAGTCATGGCTATGGACTGGCATCAATGTTGTCATGGCGATCTTCTTTGCACTGGCTGCATTTGTACAGGTGAGCTTTGCAGGAAGAAGGATTCTCATCATTTTGAGGTATGCCCTATGGCCCAAAATAGCCAAAAAACTCACGTCGAGTAATTGTTTGCGTCAATTTACTTGTGACTTAAACATAAGGTTACTTCTCTTGTGATATTGATTCTACATGAATGAGACCATTCCAAGGCTGCTAAATATGAACAGTCTTAAACCACTTCATCAAAAGGTATGTGATGGTTGCCAACTTGGAAACACATTGAATGTACAGTTCTTTGATGTAACAGTCTTGTATATTTTTGCCCTTTCAACTTTTGAAAAAAGTGCGTAAAACTCAAACCAATAAACGCTCGAGAATCACCTCACCCAAAGTGTTGGGTGCAAAGAGAAAAAAATGCCCACTTGCTTACCCAAGAAATGAGAAAAATCCACATATCATTTCTCATGATTGGGCTGAGAAAATGAGGCAAGTTGTAGCTGGAAGTAACATTTGACCTGGCTGTTATGTTACGTGCAGCATTGTGTCTTTGTCAGAATCTGCCTGCAGAAGGAATACAGAAGATGGCTCACTATTTTAACAATTTCTTTGTTTGTTTCAACCACAGATTAATGATCCTGACCCCTATATTTGGATTGTAAGTTTCTTAATTTTTCATATTTTCACAACAGTTCCTTATTATTTATCTGTCTTCATTTTTTGTCATACAGTCGTTCGTCGGATATGGTACAAAAATTTAAGTGTCAAAATTTGCCTTCCAAAGTGACTGAATATATTGCTCATTAGATTAGGTTGTTATTTACACCCAACTGCAGACACACACATCGATTGCTGTAAGATACACATCCAACCCCCTGGCTGAAACTGGAGACTCATGAATACATTTATAATTTTGAACTGTCAAAGTACAGATTGTTATAAGAAAGGCCCCTTTTGGTTATTTTATTCATTTTTACCTGATAATTATGTGTTTTTCTTCTTTCCCATTTTGAAGCCAATCTATCTGATTCCGTGTCTTCTTTGTTGTGCCATTGTCTGGTCCCGAGATGCTGTAGGTAAGAGTCAGGCACAGTTTTCTTCTTTTTTGTGTATGTGGGAATCATTTCATACAGTGGATCTCCCATTGAGGATACATTGCATTTGACAGACTCTTTTGAAACACTGAAGTGTAAACAAAACTAATTCAAACAAGTTCTGTCACCAAGTGAACACGAAAGTGACTTGGTGTTTTCACTTTGAAGAGTTCTGCAAAGGAATTCCTGGATGCCAGTTGACATTCGGTGTTTTTGATGAACAGGATAAAACTTCTTCTCTGGAATTAATCTCTCATTTGCACACCTGTGACTTACCACCATGACCGCATGAATTGATACTGCATGATGCAACTCTTTGAATGTCAATTCATGTTTTAAAGTGCCACAGAGATGATGTGGTGTGTCACTACTTGCTGAAGGAAGGATACATTATGTGCTTGGGCAGGTTCATGCATGAGAATGGTGCATTATGGGAATAGTATGCATGATGTACAATGCTTGCTACTAATTTTCCACTGAATGGGTACAAATCGGTAGTGTCTTCCTTCAAAGAATCCTTACGCCACCATCTCATCATTCTCCATCCATGCTGTCATTACATTCTAACCTCAGACCAGCTCTATTGGCGAGTCACTGCGGCCGTTCACATGGGTTTTTCTATTCTTGGAATCGTCATTCTTACATTCCATGTGGGTGGACTTCACATGAAGCAAGGATTCTTCAACCCTCTGGGCCTGGAGGAGGGAAGGTCAGTGGGTCGTCTATCGATTGTTGTCTTAGATGGTGCGTCTCTGTATAGGCATGTTTGCTAAGCATGAAATCCCATATGGCTGGGGGTCTGTACCTTCCTCAATCCTACAGAATCCTCTAGAATGGTCCTATTAGACTTTGAATGATATAGGAGTGTTAGGGGTATTACATGAGATTGAGACCTTCAATGCTCTTTACACAAACTTTCAGTGGTGCCCTTTTGCATCCATCAGAAGAAAATGAGGTTAGATACTGTCAAAGTCAAGCATGGCATATAAAGTAAGATGACCAATTCTTGAAGTTACTCAAAGTTAAAGTGAAGTTACTCAAAGTTAAAGTGAAGTTACTCAAAGTTACAGTGGTTTTTGCTTTCGAAGAATTGAAGGGTTTAATTCCATAATGGGATATATGCTATCCAAAATTGAGCAACGTTCCACAATTATTGAATATCTAAAACAAAAAGAGTGTTATAGGTCTCTCTAAATGTTTTTTTTTCAGTTTTGACTCATAATTTTTTTGACAAATAAAGTCAATAAAACTGCTTTGAGGCAATTACAAGTAGATGAAATTTAGGTGGTACTTATAATTTTGGAAATAAACTCTTCAAGTGGAAGATACTTGCAGTGTGACAAATGTAAATTGCATTTGTCCATTATGCCCAGTTAATATAATGTGAACATTGTGATACCTGTGCTTACAGAGGAGAAAAATACAGGTACCGTGTACTGAAGTCTGATCTTTCTAGAAGTGACTGACTGACTGACCTGACCTGACCTGACCTGACCTGACCTGACTTACTGAGTGGTGCGACTGCTCTGTGATAGTGGTATTGTCTGCAAGAAACCTCCTTGTCAACATGCAATATCCTATGCTGAAAGTAATGACTTCATGTCTGGTGGTTTTCCTGCATGACAGAGAGCTGTTTGGTCTTCTCATTGCTTTGGGATGGACACTGTTGTGCTGGTTCAGTGGCCACATAATGACGTAAGATATCTGCTAACTGTTGAAACCCGATATCAAAGATGCAAAGGATCGTGGGGATTTTTGATGTACAGAACATGAAATCTTTTGTTGACTCAGATGGAATTCTGTTTCATTGCATCTGAAATCAGTGGACTAAAGCATTCTTACATGAAATGTTCAGTTTTATGAACATGGGGGGGTGGGGAATGTGATGTCATTCTTGGATTTGAAACTATAATACCATACACATATGTAGCTGCAAGTTGTATACATTCAATACACCCAAGTACTGATGATGTCATGCTTTGTTTACATGTGTGCTTTCCTATAGGAGCCAGGTGAGGATGACAGATTAACAAATATGACATCATCAGAACATGAGCCAATTACTATTACAGTCATTCATGAATATGCATGATGTAAAACGATGGATTCTAACCCATGGATTTTGTTGTGTCCTTGTTCCTGTTCAGGACGTGTTCAGCAGGCAAGTTAAGTATCTTGACTGGAGTGACGGTGCTACTTGGTATGTTGCCGTTGACTATGTGGGGAACCTGCTATCAATCAAACTTCAAACACTGTGACGACATGCTGTGAAATGACTGCTTTCCGGAGAGAAGTCATCAAAAATGAGAATCATGGCTAGAAAGAAAGATGGTTTGGTAATTGCCAGCCATTGGAAAAGTAGACTTTTCCACGATGTAAAAAATGTCACCATGTACGTGAAATTTTAAAGTGATTCTTTCCTGAAGAACAGGTTCATTTTTAAAGAAGTACTGAACGACATTTGGCTTGTAAATTTGATTCATGTAAGTAATGTAAACTTTATGTCTTGCAGCTGGCTACATTTGCGACAGTCAAGTACTTAAGAACTGTAATTTTTTTAACATGTTGTAAAATCTTAACAAAAGCAAAAGTACTTGAGATATATATTTTACCAGATGATTCTCTACAATCACCTTGCCCTATGCCAATGAAAGGTTACAAAGTTTTTGGATACAAAGTACTGTTTAGCAATCATTTAATCAATTATTGTTAAAATCTGTTTAGGTAATGTAATGAACACACAGATCCCTGTACCTACCATTTGTTGTCACTTGTTGGTTGTACTATCAAGACATAATGCCTAAAAAGACAAACGTTGATTCCATCCAGAATTGGAATTGGCAAGTGACTTGACATGAAGCGATGCGCCTGTTGAGAACAGAGGATTTTCATTGCTATAATCAATGTACAGTAAATTGGACACAGTACTGCATGTTGACACATTGTGATCTCTGGTGTGAAATTTGCATAAACACATAACATTTGAAACTCTACACTAAGATGTGAGTGTAAGTATTTCACCACTTCATTCAACTTGAACTTAACTTAAATTATGTAAATTTTCAAATATGTAAAATACGAGTGGTCTTGTTTATGTATATTCGTCAATTCTCTGAAATTATTTTTGTACATGCTGCTACGTTTAAAAATCATTATTCAGTCTTTAGGTTAAGAAATTTTATAATCACTGTAGAAGTTCCAATTTTTTTAGATAAAACCAGCATAGTTGTACATATAACCCCTAAACTGGATACATCATTCATGCATCCATTGTGATTTGATCTTATCAGATTCAATGTCATTCCAAATTACAAAGAAATCCAACTTCACATTTATCACTAATGGTTACTGCATTTTCGTGCTGCATTCAGAAAGGTTGTTAGACATTGTTAGAAAGCGTTCTCCATTGGTTTTGTAATGAACTGTGACAAATTTTAAAATGAGAACTGAACTAAATTAAAGTAAATTGTCATATTTATGTGCAAGTGATGCAATATTTATCTCGGGCTTAATAAAAACTATTTTATCAGAAGTACATTTTTAGCTTGTGTCCTTGTATGAGGTTGTCATAGCAACATCCCATATTCCAAAGTGCTTACATTGATGATTTAGAATTCGTTCCTGAGAAACTATGAAAGGTATGAAGGAAACATATGAAATTTATCTTGACCAAGGTAAAGGACATGTCCAATATTTCACTTCAGTTCACAAAAGAGGATCCTGACAAAGCATGTGATTTCTGTATTTTATTTCATCATACATGCACCTTCCAACTCTAAAATCATAATGCCACAATGGATCAAAAATGCAAACAAAATTCAAAGGGATAAGTAAACTTTCTAATTTACTTATCAGATTATGTGGACACCAAATATTACCATAGGCATCGTTGGGATTTTTTTCCCAAGGGGAACCTCTTTCATGGAGGGGGGCATTCATCAATGAAAAACAGTAACATGGTCCTTTTTGATTTTTTTTAAAGCAAGTTGGTGATTTTCATCTTTTTCTTTCTTGAAATTCTTTTTCCCTTTTTCAATTCTTTCCAGGTCAAGCGTCCCCTACCCTTTGCCCCTTTCATGAATATTTGAATATTACACTTATTTACATCATAACGCCCACAAAGAATCTAGCTTTTCCCACCAAATATCTTCCTTTTTATCCCATTGCAATGTGCAACACTGCTTAGATATCTAGCTCAGGCCTGAGAAAAAAAACTAAAGCAATACAAGTGCTAATCAGGCCGTCATAGCTTGGAATGCTAGCTGCGTATAGAATGGAAACGTATGGAAAGTGCGTGGAGTACTCCTTATGCTGAGAGACCGCAGGGCCAAGTCTAGATGAAACATTT